CTTTAGAAGGGTAAGGTTACGTGATAATTTTGTTGTAATAGCAATTATTATTTTTCAGGCCCATAATTGGTCGTGTTGTGCGTGGAGATTATTCGTTCACACGGGGGAAAGGCTTTGCCATTGGCTATTGCTGCTTGCCAGCACTAAAACTAATTCGTAATGGTCAGGTGCTGTTCAGAAATACAACATCGAAGCATTATCATCCTGGCAAAATTACGGTGCTGAGAAATCAACTTGATCTCTAGCCTCAATGCGTTGATCGCTGCGCTCCATCTGCTCCTCTGTACTAAACTTTAATTTGGAGAAAAGAAGGTTAGTGTAACAAATCGGATTAGCATTCTGGGGACCAGTATTCCACAAAAATCTTTGTTCTTCCAAGATATCTTTCCTCGATATGTTGTTTTGTTGCACTGAAAAGTTGCCATTCGACATTTGTCAGGCATACCACACTGAGCACAAATCCTCAGCGAGCTGTCCGACTTAAATTAGGGGATTTCCCTCAGATATGTTTGTCTCCATTTAGGCTTCTAGAGTCAACCTGGTTGCTACAGTCGGCTTATTCAATTTTAAGGTTTTGAGAGCTTCCTGGCTGAAGCGGCAGCAGTATCGGTCGTCCTTTACCCGTTTTACTGGGTACCAGATCCGGAAGTTTATTTACAACTTCAACATCATCGAGTGCGGTGAGTGTTATCGCATCAGTAGTGTTTGCTGTCTTCGAGCTGGTCAGGACTTGAAAATCCATGAATTATTCAATCGAGATGGGAATTTTGAAAAATTCCGAAAGCGTAACATATACCCTCAAATTTGGGTTATTAATCTTTTTTGTATATTGTCGTGTGTATCTGGGTAATCCTTTTTAATCTTTTTAAATGAATTTCTCAGTGGCGCCAAGAGACTATTATAAGTAATCTGGATTACAAATTCGTTGTAAATATAGTTGATTTGGTGTTTAAATTTTTTAGCACTGCTCTTTAGCATTTTCAGAAACGTTCATTAGTGATTGTCATTTTCATATGTTATCACTTTGGAGTGTTTTGACTTTTTGACTTTGACAAGTTTGTTGTTGGTTTTTTCATTGTTATTGTTATTTGTATTTGTTTTGTTTGAGTATGAAATTAAAAAATTTACAATATTTACCCGTGTTTTCTGCACTAGTAATCTTGCTCAACGATTGTCGAATCCGACCGGTACATGATGTTTTTTGGCCGAGAAGAATTTGTTGTGACATTGGTCTGTGAAATTTTTGAAAAATTTTGCGAAAAATTTTTCCTGGCTATAGCGGGTAAGGCTACCTAACAGCGAATAGCCGGTATTTCAATATGTGCTGGGTGGGGAGATGGCGCTAATGGTGCGGGTTTCGTTCGAGACAATGGAAGGGTATGAGGGACTAGGATAGGTGAATTTAATGGCTACATAGCATAGATCCTTTGTCGATTGGCTAGGTCATGTGTGTTTGGAGAGGAAATGGGGAGGAGTGATGAGTGGGAAGAAGAAGAAAATGTGCTCCAACATATTCGCTCTCAGCTTCACCTAAGCATCAGCTTCATAAACAGGGAACCCCCCTACTGAATACGGGTTTTCGTAAAAGACATTTTTCACTCGCTTGAGCTCAAATTTTAATTGCTTTGTTTTTTCTTTTGCTTTTATTCATATGTTCGATTCTTTGT